TGGAATTTTCCAATGATTGGGCTGAGAAAAGAAACAAAAAATTTGATTTTTAAAAAAAAAAAATTTTTACTCAATTATTTAAAATTATTTTAAGGTAAATAGAAAATAATAAGGATTGGTAAAATTAAATTTTGCAGATTCTGCAATATATTATTTATTAAAAAAAATAATAATAATAAAAATAATGCTTTAATAGCGAGACTAACATTTTATTAAATAAAATAATTAAATAACTCATTTTATTAGATATTAATTTGAGCCTGAGTCACTATCAAAATAAAAAATATTTATGATTAAATATTCAAATATTATTAATGGATTAATAGATCTTGACAAAATAACTAATTTATATTAATAAATGATTGGCTTAGATGTCAGATAATCCTTTTTTTTTGGTGATCAATTATTAATTTTTAAAATTGCAGGCAAATTTGCCTGCAAAACCATTAAAGGGATAAATCTTGCTAATATTCTTGATTCTTTATGATTATTGAATGATATTGTATATTAGCTTGAAAATTCATTACTAATATATACAAAGACATTTTAAGTCTATCTATCATTATTTGCTAAAATAAAAAGTTCATATTTTTCTTTTTAAATAAAGTTTATTTGAAAAATGTTTTTAATAGATTATTTTCAATATGACTAATTGGTTACAGCTTTAGTAATTCCAATAGTATGACTATTTCTTTTTGTAATGCTTTCAATATTTTAGTATTACTAAATCTTTGAAGATTATATTTAAATTTCTTTTATAAGATATTATATATTATCTTTATGAATTATTTGATGATGAATATATTTTCAAGCATTTTTTTCTGAATTTGATTATAATTACAATAGATTTCTTTTCTTTTTAATTTTTATCTTTAAATTATTAATTTATTTAAAATTGAAATTTTTTTTTCAATTCTATTTATATTATTAAAATACTAAAATGTTTGTTGACTATTAATCTAATTAATATAAAAAAGCTTAATTTGAAGATAATAGAAGATGAATTAGTAATCAGTAAATCAATGTCAAAATTAAAGGATTGGTATTTTAAAAATTAGCTGAAACTAATTTTAAAATTAATGTTAATATTAATATTAATCTATTATTATAACTGATCATTTCCTTTCTAAACATTATTTTATCAATCAATTACTCTATTTAATAAATTTGCTTATATTAATTATGATTTTTTATTAAAAATTGTAAGATAAATTATTTTGAATAATAACTTAATCTAAATAAAATTTAGATTAATTTAACTAGTAGAAAATTGGAATAATTTTTCAAAAATAAAAAATAATCAACAATTAGATTATTAATAATAAAATTATAGTAAATAATGTATTTATAATATAATATATTATTATTATTAATAAAAAAAAATAATTAATTAAATATAATTTATGTAAAATTTTTTAATATTATTTTGATAAGTTATTAAGTTATAAATGATTTATAAATCAGATATATATTCTATCAACTATATGAAAATAATTAAAAACATTTAATAATATAATTTATTATTTTTAAATATTATAATAAAATATCATTATTAATTGAAATCAATAAAAAAAATAAGGAATTCATATGAAATTATTTTTGAAATATAATATTTAAAATAATACAGTTAATTTAATCAATTTAATTCATATGCAAATTGTTAATTATTTGAACTAACCAAATGGAAATAACAATAATTTAATTAAGTAATAACTTTTTCTCAAATGAAATTATCTGATTATTATTTAAGTAACCAAATATAATCAATGATATTATATTATTTAAATTATTTAAATTTTGATAATAATATTTTCTAAATAATTAAAATTATTAAAATATTTATAAGAAATTATTTATTTATTATTTTAATTAAATTAGTAATAAATATAAAATCCTTATTATTATTTATATATATAATATTAAATAAATATACTAATAGATTAATTTATAGAATTATAAATTAGGTATATTATTTTTATTTAAATTAAATTATATTAATTAAACAAAAATTTATTTTTAATTTAATTATAAAATAAATATATATTTAATTATAAATGTTTAAATAAAATTAAACATAAAATAAATCAAAGTATATTACTAATATAATTTAAATGATTCAAATACTTATTCAATTTTCTGTTTATATCTTTATCAATAGAAATACCTTTATTATTATCATTAATCTGTAAATTTATGTCTTTCAGATTTTTACCACTAATTTATAAGAAATAATATTTTACTTCTATATAGGTTATGATTTAAAAGTTGAAAATTATATATTATAATATAATATATATATTTTAATCATAAATATATATATATATATATAAATATTAAAAAGATATTATATTTTCTATATAATTTTTAAGAAATTTTTATAATATAAAGTTTATTTATTAATATAAATGCTAGTTTCTATAACAATTAAAAATACATTTAAAAAAATAAATTGTATAAATTATTTGTAAAGAATAAGTTAATTATATTTAAAAATACTTATACTAAAATTGCAAACTAAAAAATTATTAGTTTTTTTATTTTATTCTTAATTAATAAAGTAATAGAAATAGATATATTAATAAATATTTTAATAATTTATTTACAATTTAATTAACAATTACTAATTCTAAATTGTTATTTACATATTTATAAATTAATTATTACATAAAATTAAATTTCCAATTATAAAGCAAATGTAATCATAAATAATAATAATTTAGAAAAAAATAATCTAATAAATATAAAAACTTTATTTGAAGCTAAAAAAATATGCTTAAAAAATATATTTAAGTTAATAAATCGAATTGCAAATTAAAAAAGCAATATATTATAATATCTTTATTATATTTATTATAATTTACTAATAACATTTAATAAAATAATCCTTATAAATACTAAATACATATAGAATGCTTTTATTTTAGCAGAATATTATATTTAAATATTGTTTTTATCATTATATCTTTAAATATATATCTAAATAAGTATATTGTATATTACAATTAGTTATCCTATACATTATTTTAAATTTAATTGCATATAATTATAATTTAATAAAAAACAGATAATCACGTATTTTAACTTTTTAATATTATAACAAATATTTTTTTTAAGACATAAAATTTTATATTATATTTATAAATATAAATTGTCTTGTATTAAAATTTAAAGCTTTAAATATAAATAGTACTTCCTGTAATGTTCAATTAGAGCAGTGACATTTATTACCTAATAAAATTTTATTATTAGTATCTACCCTCCCACTCCCAAGTAAGATATTCTGATCACGTGTATGCAGATCATTTGCCTTTATAGAAACATACATTAGTCAAAAGCAAAAAGTCAAATAAATTAAAAGAATTTTATTATTAAATGGTTTAAATATTCCCATTGAGAAAATTTAAAAATATGTTCTAAAATAAAGTGTTCTACAAATTTATTCCAAATAAGTGTTCTAAAATATAAAATCGTGCTTTAAAATCAAAGTGTTCTATAATCATGTTAGTGTTCTATCGATCATCTTGAGAGTGAAGTCATGCGAGATATGTCTCATAACGATCACATTGCTGTGAAAAGAAAGTTTTTTGCGTCTACAAAAACTAGATTCAGATCTTCACAACGCGTTCAATTTTTTCACACTTTCGCTGCAAAGCCTTTTCATAAAAAAAAGCATCAATATTGTATTAGAGTAAAATGAATCATCAAACCATTTTCTTTAGCCCTAAGTTTAATAAGAAACTAATCTATAAGTCACCAGCGAATAAGTATCAGGATTTCAAAAACGTTTATGTATATAGCATTATGGTTAAGACAGGAAGTGGAACTCCCAACTGTGATGAAGTTTGTCACGAAGTTGCATAAGAATGGAACAAGATTAAATCTAAGAATGAAACAGAAATTGATGTTATTATTAAAAATTACCTTGATACGCCATTTAATCTATATGATATACAAACTTTGAGACTAAGGCGTCCTGTGCCTAAAGAAAATCCCATCCTGGCTTCTCCTATTGTTTGTTCAGTGAATCTTGCATCAGAAATTCCCGTCAATGCATCGGCTCAAAAAAAGGCAGCAAATAAAATAGCAACAGCAGAGAAGAAACTTACTGAATTTGAACAAATCTATAATATTACAACTGATCCTCAATTTCGGTATAAAACGTACTTAAAAATAAAAGGTCTCCAAGCTAAAATCAAATCTAATAGAGAGAGAATTAATAAATTATAAAAGAATGCAAGTTATACTCGAAAATGCAAAGAAAAAAAAAGAAAAATACTTATCAAATATCAGAAAGTAATACAATATGACAAACCTGGTTATTCTTCACTTCTATTCAAGCATCTGAGTTTACATGATCATATCCATGATTCGATCGAGTTTGGGATAGCTGATGAAAAAAGGAGGAAAGAAGTAGTTAAAGTCCGGATAATTGAAAATTTACGTAAGAACTTTGAAGAAAATTATGATGTTTACATGGTGAGAACAACACTAAACAATTACCTGCTACCTCAATAAGCTAACTTAATTACTGCAAAAGTGCATCATCATCCAGCGTGGGTTGCAGTATCTGGAGTTTCATGCACAGAAATACGAGATCATCCTGATAGACACTATTACCTTGCATCTGTTAAATGTGCAAAGAAATTTGCTTCACTATTTGCTGATGCGAGTGTTATTATTTCTCAAAATGATAAAGTAAAGATTGACCTAGGTATACCTGCAGTATGACAGACATTTCATACACTACAATTGGTAAATGAACCTATGAGTGTAGTGGATCATGATTTTCCTGCGGGATTTGGACAAAAGCTAATTATCTTATGATAAAACTGAATGAAAAAAATGATGATCTACTAACGGGACTGCTTGTTATCTTTGTACGTCACCAGTGGTCTCTTGGTACATCCTCATTTACGCATATGGAGAATCTAGAATGCTTTACCCAAGATTCCCAATATGATGATGTGCTGAAGTTTAATGGAGAAATCTGACTGATCGTGATGCTATTAGTCGACGGTGGACCGGATGAAAATCCAAGGCATTTAAAAAACATAAAAGTTTATTGTCAGCTCTTTAAAAAATTTAACCTGGATTACCTAAGCGTACAAATACATGCCTCAGGACAGTTTAAGTACAATCCTGTAAAGAGGGGAATGGCAATGTTATCTGGCAAGTTAGCAGGTGTTACATTGCCAATAAATCGCACTTAAACACTCAAGGCAAAGTGATAAATCCAGAATTGGCTCTTCAAAATTTCAAATATGCTGGAGAAGTGCTTTGTGATGTTTGGAATCACGATTTGATCTTTGGAAAGCGTGTAAATGCCAAGTATGTCGAAGGGTTTAAAAATCTATTTGAAAATCTGCAATTTGAGGGTACAGATAAAGAAAAGGCGAAGAAATTAAAAAAACAAGAAAAATGAAAGAAACAAGAGAAGGAAGAAATAACTGACTTAACTGAATGTTTTGTACTATGGTTATGGATTGAAAATTATTGCAATTTGTGCCAGTACTCTCTCGATATTAAACGATGCACAAATATAAGCTGCTGTAGGCCACCTCTTGTAAAAGAAGCCATGGAATTCCTTCTAGTAAATGATGGTTTTTTGCCTCCTATCACAAAAGAAAAGGATTGACATTATACAAATCCAGTACACCTTCTTGAGTATTATGATCATTTAAAAATTACTGGGTATGATTCGCATTGTTCATTGCTTAACAGAACAACTTATTCACGTTTTTGCTGCTTTGAATGTAACAAGTACTTTCCAACTCTCACCTTTTTGACAAATCACAAGTGAACAAAGCATTCTCGTGAACTATCTAAAGGAAAATCTAAAAGTCAAATTGAGCAAAATTCTTTGACTATTGATGATTTTTCGCTTCTTCCTTCACAAAAAGGAGAGAAAATTCTTCTATTAAACGAAAGAACTTTAAGATAGAGGTTGGAACCGGTTCAACACAATCGAATTAAAACCGATTCAACTGAATTTAATATAAAACCGGTTCCGATTTTTCAACTTTGATAATCCGGATTTAATAAAACCGGTTCTAGAGGTTGGAA